TGGCGGATGCCTGTAATCCCAGCTACTTAGGAGGCTGAGGCAGGAGAATCGCTTGAACCCAGGAGGCAGAGGTTGCAGTGAGCCGAGATGGTGCCACTGCACTCCAGACTGGGTGACAACAGTGTCACTCTGTCTCACAAAAAGAAAAGAAAATTCCGTGGTCGCTAAAGGATGAAAACAAGGAAAAGATTCGTATTTACGCATCCAGGAAGAAGGACTGGAAGAATGTTGGGTGGCATGGGTTTGGCAGATGTACCTTATCAGTTTCAGAAAGTTCAATTCCAGCATTGAACGTGTGAAAGTGTGCTGTTGGGGGTGGTCAATGATAAATGAATGCTAATTGTTTGGGGGCTTTTTGGTCTGCCTCTAATAAGATAACTGGGGTACAGGAGAAAATGGCAGACAGGGGGCAGGACTAACTTGCAACTCCCACTTAGACAAACAGAGCAGCATGTGGACACTCATATTGTGAACTTTTGCTCCAAGAACTACCACAGGAACACACCAGGAAAGCCGAGAGAATCCACAGACCCTTTGAAGGGAGTGGATTACTTCTGCAGGCTCCAGGAGACAGCTCAAACACTGTGAGTGCCCAAAGCGTGAAAGTGTGAAAGGGGGACTGTCTGCCCCTGAACCACAGGGGAACCTGAAGGTCCAGATTACGAGAAGAGGATTTGACCTTACATGGAGCTGAGAAGAATTTCAAGAGCTGAGTAAAACACAAAGGTAGAGGAAGAAGTGAGAAGAGTCCCACGGCATCTCGCGGTCCCCAGAGAACACAGTTTTGGTTTTGTCTCAGGAATCCTTGGAGAGGGCTGCCAGTGGAATCAGGGAAAGACTGCAGGGAAAATTTCCCTCTTTGGGATATTCATACCCCATGAATTTGATGCAAAAGTATTTTTTAATTATTCAGTTCTAAGTATTTTCTAATTTCCAATGTGATTTCCTCTTTGACACCTGATTTGTAAGTATAGGTTTTTAATTTTTCAAGAATATAAGATTTGTATGACGACCTTTTTGAAGGTCTTGGACAAGGGCACAGTACTCACAGAACATGAGCTGAACGAAAATCAGTTCTCTAAAATTCTGTTAATACTTTATGATTTGTATGGTCATTTTTGGAAAGTGTTTGAGAAGTGTGCAAATGGAGACAGATATAGATGTATATATGGCATAATCACACTGGCATATTTGTCTGTGTGATGTGTGTCTGCGTGTCATCTGCAACTGCTTTCTAACTACAATGGGACAATTGAGTAGGTGACACCTAGAGCATATGGTACACAAAGCCTAAAATATTTACTACCTAGCCCTTTACAGAAAAAGTTTGCAACCTTTTTCCTAACCATATATACTTAGCATCTTAGACGTTTCCTTTGTGGCAACTGTCACAAACAAAACTTAAATGTAGAGCTGAGATTTAATGATGACTGCTCAAATTCCTAACAGCACAAACAGAAACTTGAGAGTAGAGGACATACTGTCATATAATCCTATGTCCACAACCTGGGCAAACTGCCTGACTTATTAAAAGTACTCAAATATCTGTTGCTTTAATGGAAACGCAGAAATAAACATACACTCTATGGTTTGGATATGCTTTGTCACCCCAAATCTCATGTAGAGATTTCCTCCCCACTGTGGGACTCAGGCCCTCTTTGTATACCTGCTCCCTCTTTGACCTTATCCACAGGTTTTTACACAGCACAAAAGCCTTCACCAAAAGCCGAGTTGATGCTGATGCCATGCTTCTTGTGTAGTCCCAGAACCATAAGCCAAATAAGCCTCTTTGACTTATAAATTACCCAAGCACACGTATTCCCCCTTCATAGCAACACAAAGTAGACTAATTCAATCCATTTATCCTTTGTCCTACTCTGAGGATTCTCTTGCACACGCTTCTTTTACTATCATCTATTAAGAGGAAAACTCGCTAGTTTTAAAAATCAGCAATTCTAACTCTATGTCCCTTATAACAAGAGTTACCAAAAAAGAAAATCACTGGTCAAATAAGTTTGGTTAACAAAATACTCTATATAATAAACCTCTGCATGATGTATAGTGAAATAAGAAGATTAAAGGTTGTGTAAAAAGTGTAGTAGATTAATCTACTTATTTATAACTCTGCATCTTCTCAAATTAGCCATAGATCCCAATTCTCCCAAAATGCTTGTTAATATTTTTAAAAACACTTTCAGAAACGTAGCTACAGCAGACAATGGAACTGGAACTGGGTCAGTTTCCATCTGATTACACAGGGCAGGGGGTCACTAAACTTTTGGTAAAGAACCAGATAGTAAATATGTTATGATTTGTGGGCCGCGCAGTTTGTGTTGCAACTACAGATGGTCACTGACTTTGACGGTTCAACTTACGATTTTTTGACTTAACAATCAGTTTATCAGAGTATTAAATGTTATTTTCGACATAACTTACAATGGGTTTATCCAGAAGTAAACCCACTATGAGTCGAGGGGCATCTGTAACGCACTCTGCCATTGTAGCATTAAAGTGATCATTGACAGTATATCCGTAAGTGTGCATGGCTGTGTTTCAATAAAACTTTATTTATAAAAACAAGTGGTGAGCTGGATTTGGCACACTGGCCAGAGCTGGCCAGCCCTTGTTGTAGGGCAGCGGTCCCCAACCGTTTTGGCACCAGGGACCGGCTTTGTGAAAGACCATTTTAACACAGGTTGTGGGGGATATTTTCAAGATGAAACTGTTCCACCTCAGATCATCAGGCATTAAATTTTCATAAGGAGCGTGCAACCTAGATCCCTCACATGCCCGGTTCACAAGAGGGTTCGCATTCCCGTGAGCATCTAATGCCGCCACTGATCCGACAGGAGGTGGAGCCCTGGTGGTAATGGGAGCTCGCCTGCCACTCATCTCCGGCTGTGCAGCCCAGTTCCTAACAGGCCACGGACCCGTACTGGGGGTTGAGGACCCTTGAAAATTATCTACACTCTGCTACCTTGTACAATAGCCACTAGTCACACGTGGCTATTAAAATTTAAGTTACTTAAAATTGATAGTTCCTCAGCCAAACTAATTACTCTTCAAGTGATTAATAACCACATGTGACTAGCAACTATTACAATGGATAGTACAGAAAAGTATTTTCACTTCTCATTAACCCTCTATAGAAAATGTGTGGGTGGATGGGTGTATATCAATCATTTTGTTTCACACTATTTTTACATTTAATTTCCTGGCAATACGGGGCAAAAGTACCTGAATAAAGAAATGTTAAAGCCAAATGAATATGCTCAGTTGGACAAAAATACTTTCCAGTAGGCTTATAATTTAAATTTAAGTAGAAGAGCCAGACCGTTCAGCTGGATGAAGGAGACTGTGGCAATTTAATAAGTCAAGAATTTCCCTATTGAAAGCAGAGTAGAGAGCTAATCTCTAAGGAATAACAACCATGTTCCAACTTATAGAGTAGGCTTATTTTTTATCTGCCAATGAATTATTCTTCTTCAACATGTTCTTAAATCGTACAATTAAGATTGGAAAATTGAAAAGAAAATAATCATTCAAACAGAAGCAGCATCAGCAACAGCTACTACTTTTCATGGTTCACCTCCCGTGGCACATCAAATAGGAAAGGCAGGAGACAGCTATGTAAATGGAAAGTTCATCAGTGTTAATAGATGCAGCATCTATTAAGGTATCATTTTTGCTATGATAGCCTCAAATTTAGAACATATTAAATACAACCTCATGTGAATATAGATCACCTCCATTCAAGAAGGCATATTTCTCTTGAGCTAGGAGCCTTCTAGGAATTTATTCGAACAAAATAAACAGCAGAAAACGAAATGAGATCTTTTCCTAGACATTAAAAGTTAGAAACAACCGCAATGTCCAAAAGTAAGAAAAGGGTTAAATAAATCACAGAAATATACAAAATGTTATCTACATAGTTCTCTAAAACCAGGCTGTAGCCACATCTTAGTTGATCTGGAGATACAATCTCAGCTACAAGAGAAAAAAACTAGGTTAACAAGAGTATCTATTGTGTGTAGTTGTATTTTTTTAAAAATGGCTACCAATATACACACAGGCATATATGTATATATACTACATACAGACAAGGTTATTGTATTATTAGTGAATAAAAAGAGCCAAAAATATATATAAACTATATCCTTCTACTTATTCCAGTTTTCTGGGTAATAGAAGTCTACCCACAGAACATTTTTTATTTTTCTTTTTTCTTATTAATATATATTTTTCACCATTAAATGAATTGGGTAATTTTAAATGGGGGCAAACGAGGTTTAAACCTATTAGATTGCCAGAAAACTTAAATCATCCTCAGAACAAAGCCTGATGGCTATAATCCCATTAATCAAGTGAACTACATCAAAGGTTCTGTCGGAGCCACACCATGGAAGTCATTCCAAATAAAACATGTCCAGGTCTACATAAGTTACCTTACATAGGAAGAACAATGCTTAGAGACTTGACCACAGAAGAAAGTTCACTGATGAAGGAACTTGACAGATGTTAGCCTTTCATATAATAATTTTTCTCTTACAATACTCCATTGTCACAATAAAGTAGGTTGTTATCTCAGCCTAAGAACCATCATCGCTGTTGACATTAAACATTTTTCATGATATACCTTTATGAAGCACCATGTAATTACTGATTTTCTTCACTTAGAAAGCCAGCAGTGGTAAGTCAAGAGCTGTCAGGCTCCCTGACAGATGAGACATGCCTGTCTCTCTCTGCGAGTTGGGGCTTTCAAGAGTCCCATTAGCACAAAAGATGGACAAGGACTTTTGACTTCCACCCCTTCCAAAAGCTAGATTTCACAAACATGGACAATCTATCAGAAACAGACCCACTGGATGCAAAATATTTGTTAGGTAGCTACAGCAGAATACAGGAATACTAATACTATCCACCTTTGTTTTGTGAAAAGCATAAACAAAAGTAAGATTCTTAGATTATAAAGAGCTTGGTACATTAAGCTGAAAGTTCTGATTGATTCAAGTAATTATTTCAAGACCATTAACAAATATCCACCACTTTCAATTAAACAGAGGAAATGTTAAAAGGAAGAATGTTCATTTTATTGGATGAATTACTTTAAAAATCATGGTTTACTACACATTTTGGAAGAATAAAGTTACCCATTAATTTGCTCATCATGATAGGGAAGTCAATTACCATGCTAACCTAAGATCTATAAGAAGTTTCAGCAAAACTCACTGTAAACTTCCTTTGTTTTCTCCAGTTCTCCACCCAATTCCTTGTACTCACTCCAATCAAGCATTCATCTCCATAATGCCCCAGATAGCTCCTGACAAGGTCACCCATGACCTCCACACTGCTAAATCCAATAATTAGTTATCAGACCTCATTTCACTGAACCCATTAGCAGCATTTAATACATCAGTTCCTTTCCTTCTTCCTGAAAGACCTTGTTTTAGTTGGTTTCCAAAATGCCAAACTCTCTTGCTTCTCTACTTACCTCAACATTCGTATTTTCTCAAAAAATGCCAAACTCTCTTGCTTCTCTACTACCTCAACATTCGTATTTTCTCAAACTCTCTTGCTTCTCTGCTTACCTCAACATTCGTATTTCTCAAACTCTTTGCTTCTCTACTTACCTCAACATCCATATTTTCTCAAACTCTCTTGCTTCTCTCTACTTACCTCAACATCCATATTTTCAAACTCTTGCTTCTCTCTACTTACCTCAACATTCGTATTTTCTCAAACTCTCTTGCTTCTCTGCTTACCTCAATGGCCACATTTTCTTCATCTCCCTTGCTGCCTCTCCTCTCCCAAACTTTTAAACAATGAATTACCCTACACGCACACCCACCACCAGAGCTGAATTCTTGAGACCACTTTGCTATCTCTTATCAATCCTGGTGACCTGATTCAGAATTGAAAACACTACACAGACTACTCCTAAGTATTTTTCTCCATAATAGACCTTTCCCCTGATTTCCCAGACATACTTATTCAACTACCCTAAGGATATCTAAGAGTTATCTCAACCCTAAAATGCCCAAAAAATATTCCTTATTCCCCCACCATATCTGCTCCTCCTACGGTCTTCCTCATCTCAGAAATGGCAACCTGATCCTTCCAATTGCTCAGATCCAAACCCCTGGGCTTTTAATCCTTCTTCTCTCCCACATTCAATACATCAGCAAATCCTGTCAGCTTTGCTATCAAAATACTATACGCCCAGAATCTCACCACCTCCCATCACCAATACTGCAACCTCCACTCCAACACCCCCATCATCTTCTGCCCAGATCAGCACCTCCAGCTACTAGGTGGGCTCCTGCCTCCGTGCCTTTGCCTCCCTTCAGCTTTAGTCTCTGCTTACTCCAGCAGCCAGATACCCTTTTTAATTTATTTATTTATTTTATTTTTATTTTTATTTTTTTTTTGAGACAGGGTCTCATTCTCTCACCCAGGTTGGACTTACTGCAGCCTCTGCCACCTGGACTCAAGCCATCCTCCCACCTCAGCCTCCCAAGTAGCTGAGACTACAGAGGCACGCACCATCACACCTGGCTAAAATTTTTTTGTATTTTTTTTGTAGATATGGGGTTTCACCACATTCCCAAGCTGGTCTTGAACTCCTGGGCTCAAGCGACCCACCCACTCTGGCCTCCCAAACTGCTGGGATTACAGGCATGAGCTGCCGTGCCTGGCCAAGACTCTTTAAAGAGTATTAATTACTAAGTTAAAGGGCAGTAAAACTATTACATGAGGGACCTAGAGGAGTCAAATACACAGAGATGCAAAGAAAAGCAGATACCCTTTTTAAAATTTATTTATTCATTTTGAGATGGAGTCTCACTCTGTTGCCCTGACTGGAGTGCAGTGGTGCGATCTCAGTTCACTGCAACCTTCACCTCCCATGTTCAAGCGATTCTTTTGCCTCAGTCTCCCAAGTAGCTAGGACTACAGGCGCGCACCCCCATGCCTGGCTAATATTTTTGTATTTTTAGTTGAGACAGGGCTTCACCTATTGGCCAGGCTGGTCTTGAAATCCTGACCTCGTGATCTGCCCGCCTCTGCCTCCCGAAGTGCTGGGATTACAGGTGTGAGCCACTGTGCCCGGCCCAGATACCCTTTTAAAAAGTAAATCAGATCATGTCACTTTTCTTAAGATTCCACCAATGACACCCATTTCACTCAGAATGTCCTAACGATGCTCTACACGGCTACAGGCTGAGTCCACGCTGTCTCTCTGGCTCCCTCTTCACTCTCCCTTCCAGCCACACGCTGTTCAAATGTAGTGGGGAGCATCGGCCTTTGCCTCTGCATTTGCTAGACCATCTGCCTGAAGCACAATTCCTCCAGATACAGGCTGATTATATAATTTTACTCTCCAAATCAAGGCACTTTGGGGAGTAAAAAGGGGGAGTCTTAATCTATGCCAGGAAAACAGGTGCAAACTGAGACTGCTCCAGGCAAAGTGGGAGGTGCCATCTCCTCTCCAGACAGTCCCATGGCTCCCTCCCTGTAAGTCAGCTCCAAAGTCACCTCATTAGAGAGCATTTCCTTAACCACCTACACAACACAGCAGCTTCTCCCCTCCCCGCCAGCCGTTTCCTCATCCTGCTGACATTCCGTAATAACACTACAGAACCCCAAGAAAAAATGTTTTCTAATAGTCTCTGACCTTTAAATGCAAGCGCCTTCAAAGGATTAAAAGATTAATTGAACATGCTAAAAATAAATTAGAAAAAAATTGTTCAAGCAACATTTCTAGTACACCACAGTCTTACTACCTTCACACAAAAAATGTTGATAAGCAAGTTTAATTACAAAGTGATCTTACCAAGTAGGCAATAGTAGCAGGAATTTTTTAGCAGATGTTAGGGAAAAAAAATTAGAAATTTTCTAACAAAAATTCTAGCAATAACCTTGAAAAAAAGAATATTTCATGACCTTACAGAGTTGCTAAGAGAGTTGAGAGAGATAATTTATATGAAGTTCTAGGCACTCATGAAAAAGCACTCAACAGACCATGAGCTCTTTTTACTGGAGAGGCTGCTTAGTACTCTGGTTAAAATATGTGACCCACATTTTGTGTAATAAAAATCACGTTAACAATACAAGCATTTCTGGCCGGGCACAGTGGCTCACGCCTGTAATCCCAGCACTTTGGCAGGCTGAGATGAGTGGATCACTTGAGCTCAGTTCGAGATCAGCCTGGCCAACATGGTGAAACCCTGTCTCTACTAAAAATACAAAATATAGCCAGGCCTGGGGGCGCGCGCCTGTAGCACACCTGCAGTCCCACCTGCTTGACAGGCTGAGGCAGGAGAATCACAGAAACCCAGCAGGCGGAGGCTGTAGTGAGCTGAGATGGCACCAGCATAGGTGACAGAATGAGACTCCATCTCAAAACACAACACAAACAACAAAACAAAAAGCAACAATTTAAGTATTTCTAAACATATCTTTTCAAAGTGGTCTCTCTAAACCCAAAAAAGCCTTCATCATATCCCACATGAAATCACATTCATCTTAAAGCAACAAATGATGACATTATGCCTGTGCATATTATACACATGTAGATAGCTTACCACGAACCACCTGTCATCAGAGAAAAGCTAAAATTGGAAAACTGGACTTTTGTAAAAGAAACATTGAAACTAGTTCATACAACTTACTATGAACATTTACCATGGGGCAAAGACTTTTCTTAGTACAGAGAGCAGGAGTTTCGCCCTGTCAGTGCCCCAGATGTTCTCTTGACCCTTACGCCATCCTTCATTCACCTTTAACCTGGACAACTGTTCTTTGTCATGAGAACAACAACGGAAACAAAACAGTCAACTTCTGTGTGGTCCATGAGATGTTCATGGTCACTCTACCTGTCACTGCAAAGTACTGTAAAGGATGAATGTTAAAGGTCTGACTTTTATGGAACTGACCACATCCACGCGATCTTGTAGTATCCCATGTCCTCCTGATGCCTACTTCCTGCCTACAGGGGAGCTGGTGCTAGATATTATTTGCTGGCTTCAGTATTTATTTCCGTCTTCTTCCATGTTCTTCCCTGTAACAGGGACTGGATTTCCATCTTCTTCCATGTTCTTCCCTGTAACAGGGACTGGAAGGGAAAGCCATATTTCTTAGACTCCTTTATTACCAAGATGCTGCATGAATTCTATCAACAAGATGCATTTGCTTAAGATTGGGAAGACAGAGAGGAGACAGAGCATGAAGAGACCACATTCTACCATCTCAACCTGACTTCATAGGTGTGAGGACGCCAGGATGTCAGCCATGGCTCCCTGAGGTCTCCTGGGTAGCAGCAATAGGGCTCTGACTCCGGGAACCAAGCTGCAGGGGCATGGACCTGAAGCCTCTCTAGGGCTCGCTGACTTCTGCTCCTTCCGCTTTCCCGCTTTCACAAGCACCTAATTCCCTATTTTAAGTCTTTCCACTTGAAATTAGTTTCTGTGCCAGCTCCAGGTCTGGAGACAAAGAAAGAAACGTGCTCCTTCTTGTTTGCCTCTTATCTGTTCGCAATTCCCTTGACAATCACTTCTTCAACCTAGCTTTGGGGATGTCTGTATTCCATGAAACTTTATTTGCAGGAAGAGATGTAGGATCAGATTTCTCCTGAGGGTTGTACTTTGACAATCCCTGCCCTAGAGTTTTCTTTCTGCACTCTTAGTTACCTAGTTAGCAAACTCTATACTTAACAATTCTTAACATTGAAACTACTCTGTTCAGATACCAGATGTGGTTTTTAATCTCCTGAGCAGAACTTGACGGTCACCATTTCCTGCATGGAACTCCAACTGTTCCTATAGTTGGCATCAGAAGTGGTTCTAAGAAATATTCCAAAGATGAAAAACTGGCATTAATTATTTCTTTTGCTTGGGTTTGAAGGTACTGATGACCTAATCATCAGTGGAAAAAAAGATATTAGCTGTCCATGGCAAGTAGGACCGAAATAGCTACTGAAATGACCATGTATGACCTGCTTTCTTTGCCATTGCAGTCATTGTCCTGCCTCTTCCCTGAAACCCAGAGCTGAAACAGATGCACTATTCTGATATTCTTTTCTCCTGATCCAGCTAAGTTTCCCTGGAGTTCTCAAAATCAGAGATAACTGGCCACACTCTAGGAGCAGCAAATTATTACAAAAGAAAAATCCAAGTGATACAGGTCTTTAAACTGGAAATTAATATTTATCAAAGACAGAGGCATAGTGATTACTCACATTTTGCCTCTAGGCGTGATAAGGTAACTAGTATAAGAGACTTATGGGCAGCCAGAAAACTGAGAAAGTGTATGAAACACACTGTTTTCAGATACTGAATAATAAGCAACACAGTAGGACAACCCTCAGGAGAAAGAGAAGTTCATGAGGTGAGCCAATGACAGCTGAAGCTTTCTGACTGGAGGTACTTTCCAAATTGTGATTCAGGGAAGAAGAACCCAGAGGATGATGTTCTCACTGCTATGAGGAGACAGAGAATGCTAGAGAATGCCAGGTGGCTAGCGAGAGAAGTGCATAAGGGAGAGAAGGAACTGCACAGAGAAAGAGCTCGAGCATCTGTAAGAGTCCCCTTGGGTCTTCAAGCAAACAGGAATGTATGTACATGTATGGGGACGTGACATGAGATTTGGGGGGGGGGAAACCCTAGAATAGATACATATAGTTTTTCATACATATATGAAAAAAGAACAACTATCAGTGCTGTTAAAAAAAGAAAAAAAAAAATCCCAGGGCTCACGCACGACTGGCAGATACTTAAGTTCCAACCGTCCACGGTAGAAAAACCGTAATGAACACCTAGGGTCTCAGGCAGCAGCACCAACGAGTTGTAACTTGGCAGGAAAGCTGTAGTAGTTCCAGAGTAAAGGCTATGATAAACTCACAAGTAACTGCCTGCCAAAACACAATAAAAGAAAACGACAGAATCTAGACACTTGATCACAAAATATTAACGATAACCATCATACAAAAAAAGATTACTAGACAGGCAAAATAACAAAAAAAATGTGACATATAACAAACAGAAGAAGTTAGCAAATAGAAGCAGACCCATAAATGACAAAGAAGTGGAATTAGCAGAGGAAGAATTTAAATGAGGTATCCTAACAATATTGAAGGATTAAAAGGAATCTATAAATATAATGAAGAGAAATGGAAGAATCAAAAGGAACCGTTACAACCAGAAAAAGCAAATTTGACATGCACAAGTCCTGTACACTGAAAACTACAAAATACTGCTGAGAGTAATTTTAAAAGACCTAAGTATGTGAGAGATATCCCACGTTCATAGAATCCAAGTATTAATCCCATTTAAAGTGTCAAATTGCATGAAATCCACACATAAATTTGGGGGAAATCTCCATAAAAATCCCAACAGGCTTTCTGGAGGAATTTAC